TAACTATTGTAATCACTAAAACCGATGGTCTCGAATTTCTAGAGTTTTTCATAAAATTAGTTATGGGTGTGTTAATAAATATAAAAAAAATATTTCTGCCATGACTTTAATAAAAAAAACATATTTATAATAATTTCGATCATCTGTGAATAGTTTCTGAAAGTTTCATTAACATCTGACAATTATTTTTATTTTTGCAAGATTTTCCAAATTAATGTGTGTAAATACAAAAAAACGCGCTAAAAATTATCTATGTTATTTACTTCCCCTTGTTGCGACAAAGAGAAACAAGGTTTTTTAAATCAAAAAAAAAAAATAATTAAAAAAAATTTTAGTCTATCCTCTTCATAAAAACATAAGCATTTTGACGATAAAATTTTGTTTTCATAAACTTTAGCGTCTTTTTCATCAGACTATGCTCTATGTTTTAGCGATTCCGTGGAGTGACTTAGGTTAAAAACCCAGGTTGTTTGTTTGTTTGTTTGTTTGTTTGTGTGTGTGTGTGTGTGTGTGTGTGTGTGTGTGTGTGTGTGTGTGTGTGTGTGTGTGTGTGTGTGTTCCTTTATATATGTGATCGGATTTCTTACATTTTTCAGCCGATAAAACAAACATCCACTTTTTTTTTGGCAGGTAGTATTTCTTATTGTCTTGCACACTTTTTTCTTTATTTACATTCAGAATGCTTTAAAAATTCCATTTACAAGACAATTGTTTATAATAAAATTCTATTCACCAATCGATAGACTCATAACGATTGTAAACAATGTTTTTGTTTGAGTTTGGTTTTGACCAATTCGTAAAAAAAAAAAAATACTAATTAAGACATGCGTGTCCGTCAACCTTAAACAATAATCTTTGTCAATTTTATTTTTCAGTCTTTATGATAGTCGATACTTGATCTATCTCTTACTGTTACATCCCCGGGCAACGCCAGGATCTACTGCTAGTATATGTATATATAGTTCTGGCTATGTCTTTGTGGTATAAAAGTCTCCCTGAGAACAAAATATGTTTGTCATTGCTTTTCCTTTGAGCTATTCCATTCCGTTCGTCAAGTACGGTGTTATTATATCATAGACATAATAATGCCCATAATGGGGGAAATACAAATGGGAGAATAAACCTTTCTATCATAGTTCTCTCCCGTTATATGATCATTATTCTGTGAATGAATCAAATGTAACACCATACACCTCCGTTTTGACTTCCAATGTCAATTGATGTTTCTTTACATATTACATAAATTTACAAAATATAAATCACTTGAACGTTAGAGACAAGGAAATCCAGGAATTTCAATGAGAACGAATACAATTTTATATCACAGGCAACTAAAAAGCAGGTAAAATTTTCGAACCTGGTCAGTACCTAGACTGATACGCTTCGCAATACGAGGTGTTGTAAGCTTAGATGTGCGCTTGATGTAATGGATAATGGCTCGGAATTGTTAATCGAAGAGCCGAGTTCCAATGCCCGTAGAGTTCGTTATATTCACTTACGCGCAAATACCTTTGAGAAATGTATGAATCTAGCTCTTCTCCCTCAGCTATGGGTCAATTAGTCATACTTATATTGCTAAATCATTATGTCCAAAAAAACATTCTTACAATCTAAAAATGTTTTCTGGGTTCAAAAATAAACTGTAAAAAACAAATGAATCAATCAATGATGAAATAAAAATGTACTTGTGGTTAAAAAGAGTAACGATAAAATAAGTCCAAATAAAAATCCTCTTTATAACTATTCTTTATATAGTGCTCCTTTGGGCCGTTGATGATCATGGCTCCCCATCGTTTCCTGTCCTTTGTAGCCCTTAATATTGTTTTTTTTTCTTTTTGCTATCTCTCTTAATCCCTGTTCTGCCAACCATTTACACCAGCTCGTTTTAATCTGTCCTGTGAGTATTAAATTTTCTAAGCCCTCTTTCCTCATTATGTGCCATAGGAATTTAACCTGTTACTTTCTTTCTAAGTGCGTATCGTTTTGTTCCCATTCTCTATAAAACGTGTTCAGTTAATGACATCCTCATCATCCTTCTGTTGAATAACATTTAGTGAGGAAATTTTCCAGCATTCATTGCCAATTAGGATGACTGATATTATATAAGAGTTCACTACTCTTTTCTTAATTTCCAGCGAAATTTTCCTCTTTCTTAATACTTTTCTTTGAAAGGCACCTTTCGCTATCCCAAAACGCCAGCTGAGTTTGGTGTACATGTACCTACGTGTAAAAGTTTTCAGCTCAAGAAAATCTTCTACTAACATCAGTGTGGATTAAGCAACTAAAACAAATTAAACAAAATTAGTCACTAAGTACGTCATTTTATATTATAGTCAAGACTTCTACAAGTTTAGTTACATTGGAATGTCTTTCTTTTCTATTATTACATTTCTTTTGAATTATATTGAATCAATTGCTAGGTATACTGATAGAAAAGTTAGTTCATTCTTTTGGTGCTAGACAATCTTTCTTGCACATTTATAAGTCTACTATTTGTCTATGCTTTGAATATTGCTGCCACATGTGCTCCGGTGCTTCTGCTATGTCTTTAGAGATTCTTGATGAAATCTAAAGTAGAATCTGCAATGTTATTGGTCCTGAGCGGCCATCTCATCCTACCACCATAACGTAGATTCCCTGTGTCTTTTCTATAAATACGTTTATGGTAATGAACTTTCTTCTTTCCTACCTAGACTTTAAGGGCATTACTAGATTGGCGGCAAGGTCTCATCCTTTTATAGTTGAAATAGATAGATGTATCCGTATGTTCTATACTAATAGTGTCTTCTCTCGCACTTCTCGCGTGTGGAAATTACCTCTGGATTCTTGCTTCTCTGTCAACATTGATCTCCAAAAATGCCAATGTAATGTCAATCGTTATTGTCTGTCTTCTTAATTCCTGTTCTTTTATTGTCCTCTCTCCTTAATAATGTTTTTCTTCATTTTGTCTCACACTCAGTAACCCCTTGGATCAAGTGGCAACTCGAGTCCGAATTCTTACACGAAAATTAAGCAACTGGTCAAAATCCTAAGTTACTTATTTTAAAAATATATTTTTTTTTGTTATCTAATCGACTCAGCTTCTTCTTTTATGTGCCGTGTCCCTTCAGGACGTAAGCAATCAGGGCCCTCCACATCTTCCTATCTTTTGTAGCTCTTAATAAGTTTTTTTCTTTTTGTTTTAAAACCTTTTCTACCAAGCATTTACTCAAGATCATCAAATATGTTTCGCGTTGCTTTCCTCTGTTCCTCTTTCCTTCAATATGTCCTGTGAGTATCAGGTTTTCCAAGCCTTCCTTCCTCATTATGTGCCCCAGAAATATCAACTGCCTCTTCCTGATGTTAAATATATGTTTCCTTTCTGTTTCCATTTTCTCCAAAACCTCATCGTTACTCACATGTTCGGTCCATGGTATCCTCAGCATCTTTCTGTAGAACCACATTTCTATTGCTTCAAACCTCTCCTTCATCTTTGAGTAGATTGCCTAACATTCCCATTTCATATAGGCGGACAGATATCACATAACAGTTCAGCACTCTTTCTTTGTTTCTAATGAAATGTTTCTGTGTCATAATACTCTACTTAGCGTTTGGAAAGCCTCCAAAAATTAAACTGTTTTGTGCTTTCTCATTGGTCAAAACTGTATCTTCGTTAAATTATACTTCTGTCCATACGATGTGTTTGATTGGATAATAAATATGAATGATTGGATGTTTTGCTCGATTTTTAGAAGTAATAACATCGGGATAAATGTTTACACGAAAGGAGAAATTGTAGTTTTCATTTTTAATGCTTACTTTTTTCTCTTTAGATCTTTTCGAGCACACAGTGGAAAGACAAGAGTAATATATTAATAATATGTTCTTAATATATCATATTATTATTATTATTATCGTTATTATTATTATTATTATTATTATTATTATTATTTTCTTGTTTCAAGTGCTGTTTTATTTACTGGTTTCCTGATGTCAAAGCTTGCTAAGAAAAGAATTCGGTGCACAATTCTTTACGCCACAGAGACGGGCAAATCACTTCAATTTGCACATTCTCTTGCTGTCATATACAAAAATACTTTTACCACGGAGGTAAGTGTAGCCTATTAATTATACAATAACCTCTCAAATGGAAATAAAACAAAATTTAAAACAATTTAAAACAACTGGTGATGCTTGGTCGCTAATTGAAAATGTTACGGTGAAAAAAAATGTGATATTAACAGTGGCAGGCTGACCAGGTTGTAGAGTGCCCAATGGTAGTTAGGCCACTTTATGGAGTGCAAACCCCTCACAATATCAAATAAAAATGCAATAAAAAAAAAAACACAGACAATTGTTTTAGTAATAAATAGAACTATGTACTTTGTAAAGTCATCTGCATGCTATCAGTTACTCAAGTTCAGTGTGAGAGGACATTTTTAAAGCTAATGATCATAAAGACAAGGTTAAGAAATTCGATGTCTGAGAAGAATTTGGAATCATGCATGTTGCTATCCATTGAAAAGGAATTGTTAAATTAACTGGATGCAGCTTAGCTTAGAAATTACACGCCCTTTAAATATATCATAAAAGGTGATGAAAAACGGGTAACTTACGACATGGTGCAATGCTTGTTTCGATAGAACAATTACAACTGAGTAGCGAGCTCAATCTTTACTGGATGCTCCATACTTTCGGCCTTGTGCCACATCTAAGCTTCTCTTAGAAAATCACTATTCAAGCGAATGACATTAGGGAGACTATATAAAATTTGTATTTTATAAGAGATGTTGTAGAGTAGTTTGATATAGATTCGGAACTCTTGCACCGGCCTTGGTCGTAACTCCTTCTGGAATCATGTAGTTCTTTGTGAGTGAATGGATGGGTACTTGCCCATTGTAAAATAATTATCCTATTCATAAGCGCCAGACCATCATAATATATAACATCGGTCTGTTGATGAGTGCAAATTCAACAAACTCAATATGTATACAGGAATTTTTTAACTGGATTTAGAAATTACAGCCATATCATGTTGAAACATGGTTCCCGTACGATCACCGAAATTAAGCAACATCGAGCCTGGTCAGTAGCTAGATGGGTAACCGTTTGGAAATGCCAGATGTTATATTTTAAATGTGCGGGTGGTGTCATGAATAATGGCTCAGAATTACAAATTGGAGAGCTTAGTTCCGATTTCAATCGGTTTCGTTTTATTCACTTACACGCAAATTACCCTAAGAAAGGTAGGAAATCCAGTTCCCCCCACACACACACACACTAGTTATGGGTAAATTAGTAGAACCTCTATCGGTAAATTCTTATTATCTCCCAAAATATTCTTATACATATTTTTTTAGCTTTAAATAGCCTGTAAAAGGTTGATAAGCTTTAAAAAATGCAAATCAATCATAAACCCCTCTAGTTCAGTCATGTTTAGTTTATTACCCATGTAATATTAACGAAACTATCCTCGAGAAGGCTGTAACGCTTTACCACACAGGGTGGATCTTCACTATGGAGAGGCCATTGCAAGGCTGCAATTGCAAAATTACACATCTATAGTTCTAAGTGTATTGTAATTTTCTAAGCGTAACACATGGCCGAAAGTACAAGGCAGCCAATAGAGGATCGAACTAACTACTCAATCGTAATTGATTTAACGAGACACGCTTGCAAAATCATTACACCACGTCGAAGCTCTGTGCGTATGGGTTCCAGTCAAAGATGCCACAGAAGACCATTCCATAATGGCACTAGTACTTTGTCAAATCGAGTACCACTATCGTGTTAACTGCTATGTCTCCTTTTTTTAAGAGAAATCATGCGAATAATATAATATTTGCTTTATTTTTAAGGTTATCTGTGCAGACGAATATGATATCTCAAAGCTGCCAAATGAAACTCTCTTGTTGGTCGTCACGAGCACGTTTGGAGAAGGTGACGCCCCTAGCAATGCACAGGTAATTAATTGCCTTATTTTAATTACTAATTACACACACACACACACACACACACACACACACATATATATATATATATATATATATATATATATACAGGGTCGGTTGAAACTTCATTGGGTGACCAGTAGAATGTGACTGAATAAGGTTTATTTTTTAACATTCTGTCTGCACTTTTTGAAAATAGGCAATAAACACAAAGCTTTTTGCATCTCCCCAAAAGAAGCTCAAAAATTGACAGGAATTATTTAAAAAATGAGAAGCAAGAAAAGAATTTCTTTTTCGTCTCCTCTATTATTGTTTTGGAGTAAAGAGTACACCCCCTGATAACTCTATGAACTTGTCCAATACTATAAAGAGTTCCACGTTATGAGGTCGTGAGTTGTAGAATCGCTGTCAGGCTCGCTACAAGACAAAACAAGACCTCTGTCTTCCGGTGGAGGATGACTCAGTCGTGGTTCTGTCTTCGGATAGTGTACAGTGCTAGTCAGTTTTTCTCAGCCGAGAAAAACAAACTAGTACTGTACACGAGCCCGTTTTGGCTGGGTAAATTTTGACCAGTGACCCGGGTGGAAACACTTGAGTTCCCCGCAGTAAACTTGACCTTGTGTCACATCCAGACTGCAGTGGGGCGACCGGTAAATACCGGTATAATCGCTGTCAGGCTCTCGTCAAGACAAGACCTCTGTCTTCGGGCAGAGGGTGACTCAGTCTGGGCTGTGTCTTCGGATACAGACACGGCTGAGAGTACTGTAATATACTGTACTCGAGCCCTCTTTTGCAGGGTCTGTGTAAATTTTCCCACATAAAATTTGACCTTGTGTCATATCTCGTCCGCGGTAGGTCAACCGGTAAATACCAGTCCCAGTCCCGCGACAAGAGTCAGTCCCAAGCTGGCGACAGACAAGACTTCTGTCTCCGCGCAGAGGATGGCAAAACCTATGTCTTTGGGTAGAGGGTGACTCAGTCGGGAATCTGTCTTCGGTTAAAGACTCGGATGAGAAAAACTGTTGACTAAAGTACCCGAGCGCGCTTCCGCGGTAGCTGGGTAATTTTTTCCCAACCTTGTACCACAACTCATCTCAGTAGGAGGACTGAGTAGATACCAGTCGTATTGGAGTCAGTCTTCATACTAACTATGCAGGAGTTACGGCAATATCCTAAGCATTACGTATAGAGAATACTTTAACAAATTACGTTATACAAAATACGAGTGTGCATTATAACAATAATATTTGGTGACGAGGATGAGATGAGTTGTGACAATTACTTATCCTTTATATAAATATCTTTTTCGTTTATTTTTCATATTACTATAATTTTTTTTTTTTTTTTGCTAAAGTGTCTGTCTGCTTCTGCGCGCGTGTGTGTGTACATTTAGGTGTGTGTACGTGTGCGCGTATTTACATGTTTGTGTGTGTGTGCGCATGTTTTGGTTCATGTACTTGTACTTATGTCTACGCGCATGTCATCTGCATATGCAAGCAAGTACGTGTGTGAGCAATTGTGGTTTTATGTCAACGTTTAAATTCCTCTTTGGACGTCTTTGCAGGAATTGAAAAAGACTATTTGGAACCTGAGCCGGAAAGCAAATGATCCGTAAGTAACTTCTTGGTTGCAGTTTGAAAGCCACCATGAAATCAAAAACCCTTCCATTTTAATTTCTTCTTCAAATCTAGCGTCTTATAAAAACCGCTAACATTGTTTAGCGCCAACGTAACTTAATATCTATTTTGTAAATACTTGAACGTCTATTGGGACTCAGGCTCACCCCAGACCTCAAGTGAAACTCATATATGCGCTAAAGATGTGGAGGAAATAATCTGTTCTTTGTACCATTCTCTGAGAGTAAGTTCTTGGTAGCGATAAAAAATACAATATACTACCAAAATGACATTAGTATTGATGCTATTAACGGCGAAGAAATAAAATGAAAAACCAGTATGATCTTGAATAAGTTAAAACAAGCTGGATTAACTATTAACGAAAAAAAAGGTGTGAAACAACATTGAAAAGATCTCTTTTTTGGGGGGATATTCCATATCTAACGAAGACATATCACTAGACCAAGCGTTAATTGACAAAATATTAAGTTGAAGTGCCTAAGAAGAAAAAGAATTTGAATCTTTCTTACTAGTAAATTTCTACAGGCGATATGTAGAGTGATACTCCGAATTGACAGAAACTTTTGCTGCTTTAAAAAAAAGAATGTGGAATTTATTTGGACAAAAGAACAAGTGTCATTTGAAAACTTAAAAGCTGTTCTGGCAAAGAAGCCAGTAGTAAAATTATTCGACCCTAGAAATGATACAAGTGAACACTTAATTTCAGGAATATTGGCTGGTAATCCTATTATTTACCTTTCTAGAAAATTGTCAAAAGCCGAATTGAACTACTCAAATACTGAAAGAAGCGTTGACCATATGGACAACAAATAGAGCTCATCAGTTTTTGATTTTAAAGAAATTCCTACGAATGTTCAACCATACACCTTTAAAATTCATATTTAATCCTCGGAAGGAACTTCCTAAAGTAACTTCTTCTAGAATTCTAAAATGAACCTTAATGTTAATGTTGTTTGACTTTCATATTGAATTTGTGAATGGCAGTACCATTCCGCATATAAACGTTTTGTCGAGATTGAGGTTCATTTCTTCTAAAAGAGAAAAAGAGAAAGGGAAAATTCGAAGATACTTTTTTATACTGGATTAAAACTGATATTTTGACGATAGACAAATTAACTGAGGATACGAAGCGAGATCTCATACTAAACAGTATATTGTTCAAGATAAAAAAAATAAGTAGAATAATTTCTCACGGACAGAAAGGCGTTTTAAAAAGGTTAAACAGAAGTTAACCGTCGAAAGGGGTTAATTTGTAATGGAGACGTAGTGGTTCTGCTAGCAACGCAAAGGAGCAAAATTATAAAAAGCATCCATGACAATGTTCATTGCAGAATAATGTCTACGCGAAGGAGATTAAGGCTAGAGGCATGGTGGCCAGGCAACTCTACAAATATAGAAGAATACGTAAATAGGTGTAAAATGTGAAATGAAAGTAGAATATTTAGACAGTCCAAAACACATACATGGCTGAAAGAGTCCCAACCTTGGGACAGAGTATACATAGATGATGATCTCGCTTGGGGTGAAATGACGAAAAGAATACGTTACTGACAGACATCATATTACTAGTGTCAACAGGCGTTTATTTCCATCACTTTGCGAGAAAAAATGAGCACCGATATAGTAAGAAATATCCTTCTATTAGGAATGGCACAAAATAGTTATCTCTAAGTGATGGTGCTTCGGCCAAGCCAAAAACATACGAGAACAAAAACAACAAGGATTATATCCTTAAAGGACAAGCAGGTTCAAGCTTCATTAATGAGAAAATGGCCTCAGAATGCAATACCAACAGGTATTATTTGACATGTAGAAGATCGCACCGATTTGATATTTTTGTAGGTTTTTTTATAAATCAATACCTTATCCTGATTGCTAAAATTATATTTCCAGTATGGAAATAACATGAAAAACTTATTGCACAACATTGATAAGATACTTTTGTTATACACATGACAAATTTATTATAATAAAATCGGAGACATAAACAAAGCAATTTTATCGTAAAATGTCATTAATCAATGCATAGCTATAAACATTCTTACTTGCAATGTTTTATAATTAATTATATGCAACAGATATGTTTGGTATATACGAGGTGTGTCTGAAAAGTAACGGGACTGATTACGTTCTTCGACAGAGTCAAACGATCAATCAGCAAGTCTACAAAGAGATCCTGCGGTGATTGCTTCGGTGAATGCGCGAGAAGTGACGAGAGTTGTGGCAAGACAAATTGTGGCTGCTTCACTACGGCAATGCACCTATACACAACGCCGAAAAGAACATCGCCGTACTGGGATAACCTCCCTATTCACCTGATCTTGCTTCGTGTGACTTTTATTTTTCCCCAAGCTCAAGGGATCCGTTTTGAAGGTGTGGAGGCCATCAAGAGGTCCGCAACGAAGAAACTGAGGGGTACCCTAGAAGAATCCTTCCAGCAGTGCAGATAAGCACGACAGAAAAGGATGGAAAAGTGCAGTAGTAGACTGTAGGGAGATTACTTTGAAGGGAAAACCATATAGTTTGTTGTTTGAATTTG